TTTTAATAAACTTTAAAATTTTAAGTTTTACATTGAGTCAAAAAGCGTTCGGAGACTTTTGGCGGGGGTCTGTATGTCATGTGATATTGCTATTTATTTGCTTTATTTGCTTTGAAAAATTAAACTGCGCACATTTCAAAGATTACAACTTCTAATTGATTAATATTATACAATAATTATTTAGTAGTTATGGTCACTAAAATATGAATTAATATAAAATTTTTATTGTAATTAAATTTTTCTGCAATACCTGTTATAATGCAAATGCACTGATTCAGTTTCATCATTGTCATCCCAGGGAATGTCATTTCTGACTCATCGATTTGTACTTCTTGTTTATCGAAACGTTGTAAATGTTTCAATAAGGATAAGACATGTTCTTCGATACCATTTTGTAAGAAAAATAGGCAAAGTAAGCATTCTGATCCATTATTGCTGTAGCAAATCTATCGGATCGGACCTTTTTTCTCCGGAAAAAATATTTTAAACGAATAAATTGATTTAATTTTTTCGAATTCGATTTATATAAATAACTCTCAGTGTAGTGAACAACATGAACCAAGAAATAAAAAATATTCGAGAATGGTTGAGTAAATTGTTCAGCAATTTTAAAATTTAGACAATTAGTCGCATTGAAATTTTGTATCATTATAATCGAAAGAAGTACAATGCGTCCTATGTGTGGAAAAGGATTTTCTAAACGAGATACAAATCCTAATTATAATTTTTTTTTTCTAATGGATATGCAGAATCAACACTAATAAAACAATTCCAATAATTATTTTGCCATGGTGGGATGTCAATAGATCTTGTATAATTGGTAGAAATTAATATGCAGAAATATTTAGACTTTGTGGAATTCATGTAAACAATATTATACATCGAGATCTTCTTAGTGGAAATAACTAATACTAATAGAATTAAATGAAACAAGTTCACTTATGTGGAGTGAAATATTAAGTGGTTTATCATTCCTTATATTGCAATGGGGTGATAAGTTTTCAAAAGAATCTGATATTTATAGTTTGGGGGATCAACATCAGTTATATACCTTTTGAGCATGATCATAATCTAATTTATAAAATTATTGATGGAAATCGATCTGAATTTACTCGAATGTTATACTAATTTAATGAAAAGATCCCGATCCTTCAAAAAGGCCCTTTATTAAGCAGATGCTGAACAATTTGTACATTCTGAAACAAAAGATAGGAATTGTTTCAATCAACTAAATTCTGTTCTAGATTTATTAAAAAGCCTTATCCAAAAGCAATTCATACGAGTAGGAAATTTTTATAGGAAAGACCTTCGAGATACTTGAGATTTTATGATATTTAGTTTGTTAGCTTGATTTCGGTACAATTTCAGGTCTAACATCTGTATATACATAAAATGTAGTAGTAGAATGAATACAAATTCAAAAGACTTACCAACTGGTCTTTTGTAAGGTCCATTTTCGAGTTTTTGATCCGCCTGATCCATAGACAATAATTCGTCGTGTTCTTTGAATGACTTCCTGGCTTCTACCCACTTTTTATATTCAGTACAATTCAAGGAAGACTTAAAACTTTTGCTTTGCTCTTTCTAGTTTTGATTAAATCAATTTCAAAAAAATTAATAAAAAATAGTCGTAATTAGAACTTTAAAGATTAAAGAATTCTTACAGATTCCCAAAGTGACTTTCCTTAGATTGCAACTTGCGAATAGGCATAAAAGTTGAAATATTGCTAAAAATACACGAAGGTAATTAATTAAATTAATAAAAATAATGATAATAAAATTACTTAGAAATTCAAATTTTCTTACCAATAATGATTCGATACGACTGACAAATACCGCAGCAAAGCGGCATAAAAAGCTCCAAACGGATTATCGGTATCCTGCGCCGCGCGCACCAATGTCTTGTAAAATAACAACAAGAAAACTTCCTAAACAAATGGGAGACGGTCAATAGAAAAGGGGGAATCTACAAATTTTGGTTAGTTTTGTACACATGACCAATAAAAAAAATTTTTGACTAAAAAATGGATTTCCTCTTGTGAACTCCAATAGTAAGAGAATATAATCATAGCAATTAATTTTCCATTTTCTTTTCCTCCTGCTGTCCTGCTGCGGGCAAATTTTTTAAAAACAAACGAAAAAAAAATTGTGAAAATCCACCATATTAAGAATAAATTCTCCGCAAATAATCCACCAAAAGAAACAAGAATCATACTCTTGATGATATCTAATATTTGTTAAGCTATGAAACATTTGACGAATTGTGCATTTCAATAGATTCATGACACCGAAGAAAGAATCCGATAAATTTATTGAACTTAGTTTATATAATATGCATCGAAATTCTTAAAGGAACAATTACTAATTATATTTCTGCAGTTATTGTGCCATTAGTAAATGCGAAAAGCATATTTGAAACGGAGGTAAAGTTTTAATTTATTGAAATCTAAAGTTAAACTTTATTGCACCAATTTTAAAAATTTTCAATTTTCTTTAATAAATTAATGAATTAAAAAAATTTATATATAAAATTAATTTTTTTTATTGAACGTAAACTAGTTACAGATTGATCAAAAATTTTTTACAATAAAAATAAATTTTATAAAAAACTTTGGTTTTTTTTCGGCGACGCGTCTTTAAAAGCTATCTAATTAATTCTAAGTAACGTAATATTATCGTCGTTTCGTTTGTAAATAGCGTTAGCGTAAAAGTGATCGGAAAATATTCGGAATCGTCCGTTACTGTGAAATAAAAAAATAAAAAGAATTGTTAGGTGTGAGTAATTCCCGCGGTTAACCACTCACTAAGGAAGATCAGCCAGAACCAATGGACCACTTCAAAATGCTCTGGATTTTATAGGATATTACCTACATAACACTTTCCCATTATCAGTTCTACCCATATCAGAAAATGGACTTTTCTCGCATCTACCTTAAATTTTGAATCTTGGACGCGAAAAGTCCTTCATTTCGTTGTCGGTAGCGTTAACATGATTGGAATCGTCCGTTTCTATAGTTTAAATAAATAAAATAAAGGGTTGGGTGATATATATATTAATAAGATGTCAAAATAATAAATTCTAGGAACATAAAAAAATTCAAATTTTTGTTGCTTTACATCTATTGTCTACCTCCTAAATTGTTCGTCTAGACTTCTCATCCAAAGAAACCCTCCCCAAAATTAATACCACATATAACTCGACCTTGATCCATCGACAAATTCTTCTACGGTAGCTTTATTAGAATGTATTGTTAAAGTAAATTCAACCGAATTTAGTTTATATTAAAAGAAAGCAAATGTTCTTTGATTAACTTACGTTCTATTAGTTAACTACTTTAAGCTAAGAAGCCCATATGTACTGTAATTTCACCAATGACCGCACATCCTATGACCAAGAAGCCCATATGCAACTTCACCGAATGACCGCGCCCAAAGTGCAAGCTCAACTCTATCATTTAAGGATTCATCTGACGTCGAGTATTACGTTGGATGGTGGATGGCATGCTCCTAGTCCGGTAATCATGATACATACCTCGTTAATTTCATCGACTCCTACATTATCTGGGAAAGGGGACGAACACGATTAGAATGTCTTATATAAAAGAAACTGGGA